CACTCTATCCTGCTCCCTGACTCCTAACCTCTCCTTCCTCTGCTTTCTTCATTAGTTCCTTATATGAAATAAGAGTATTTCCCAAGGTTGAGCTCTAGGTCCTTTTTTGCGTGGGTCTCATGTATTTTCTTCCTAGAGCTTAACCAGTGAGTTTCAGACTGTGTGCCAGAGCCCTAAGATTTCTCAGAATTGTCTCAGGAGCTGCCAAGGAAGTTTATTAAGCATGGCTTTGTCCACCTTTAAAGTAGATAGCCCTAAATGTTTTTGATATATTGGTGTTTTATGTTCTATTTCACTTGAAAAAGGAAGTAATTTCTGTTGCTTAAAAATACACACATATGCACAGGGAAAGAGAAGGATCTAAAACCATTGACTTAACATTTCTCTTTTCTGAATTACACCTAAATCAATACTGATCTTTGATGTCAGAGCCAATCTTGGGCTTTCTTTTGCTCATTGGATATCTCAACATGGGTAGATGGCTATCACTATTACTTCGGATTCCACATGTCACATAAAATATATTTTCTTATGGCAAACTCGTTCTCCAACAGAAACTTAAATTTCCATTCATTCCTGGGGCGCCTGGGTGGCTCAGACGGTTGGGCGTCTGCCTTCGGCTCAGGTAATGATTCCAGGGTCCTGGGATCGAGCCCCACATCAGGCTCCCTGCTGAGCGGGGAGCCTGCTTTTCCCTCTCCCTCTGCCTGCTGCTTCCCCTGCTTCTACGTAGACTCAATCTCTGTCAAAAATAAATAAAATCTTAAAAAAAAATTCCATTCATTCCTTTACTGCTCTCTAAAATATGCAAATTCAAAAGAAAAAGAATTAGTCTGTCTTTTCTTCATTGCTCAAAGTCATCGTTCTCCAAGACCTGTTGATTTTTCCTTAGTCCATAAATATTTATCCCTTTCTTTCAAATACCACAGCTTCCATAGGGTTGGGATTTATAATCCCTTTTCTTTTGGACTGGTCTCTGAACCTCTGAAGAGAAATTTTTGTTTCTGGGTGCTTAGCCCTGCAGCATATTTTGAAATCTAGAGCCAGATTTCAGTTTCCTAAAACAATGTGTTCATCATTATCATTATTCACTCCTGAAACATTTCTTCCTTTCCTTCCCTATTTTTTTTTTTGTTAAAGATTTTATTTATTTATTCATTAGAGACAGAGAGAGAGAGAGGCAGAGGGAGAAGCAGGCTCCCAAGGAGCAGGGAGCCCGATGCAGGACTCGATCCCAGGACCCTGAGATCATGACCTGAGCCGAAGGCAGACGCTTAACCATCTGAGCCACCCAGGCGCCCGTTTCCTTCCCTATTTTAGCTGTGTTAGATGGGGATCACGCTGAGTCCCAAACCTAATAATAATGCAGCATTCTATTTAGTGCCTTGTATGTGCTAAGTACTATCCTAAGTACTTTGTAGGTATTATTTAATTTTCCAGATAATTCTGTGAACTAGGCATTATTAGTATCTATTTGGTAGATGAGGAACAGAGGTTAAGCTAATTGCCCAAAATCACACAGCAGAAAAATGGCAAAGTCAGTGCCACAGGCCACGTGTGCAAGTTATCTCCCCCCACCCCACATTTAAATAGGGGAAAGACATGTGGGCTGTTGGGCAGGGACCACCAAAAGCAGCAGTCAGGGGTAAAGGTGCTGGCTTTGCCATCTGGTCTTAAAAGAAATTTAAGATTCACATTCATAAACTCAGTCCATAAATCCATATATCATGAAATAGCAGTGCTCCCACCTTCTTTGTGACTACCTCTAGGCTTCAAGTTCTCCCATTGTGTGATATTTTTTCTTCTTCAAGATTGTCCTGATGTTGATCATAAATTGATTTAACCCCATCAGAAAAAAATCTTAAAAGTTCTGAAATGATCCTAGGCTCCATTCCTTGCTTCCTCTTGGCTCCTTTTCTTGTTTCTAGAGTCTAGGGCCAACCTTACCTCCTGCTATATAAAACCAAATTTACCTAACCATGCTACTCTACTAATTGTGTCTGAACATGCTTTGTGATGAGGATGATGATGATAATAGAGATAGAGATAACTTATTAATTCATTCATTTGATTGTAGACTCATGCTTTTTTTTGTGCTCAGTCTTATCCCCAGGCCTTGCCACAGAACCTAACAGATAAGAAGAAAGGATAGAGGGCGCCTGGGTGGCTCAGTCGTTAAGCGTCTGCCTTCGGCTCAGGTCATGATCCCTGGGATCGAGTCCCACATCGGGCTCCCTCCTGGGCGGGAAGCCTGCTTCTCCCTCTCCCACTCCCCCTGCTTGTGTTCCTGCTCTCACCATCCTCTCTCTCTGTCAAATAAATAAATAAAATCTTTAAAAAAAAAAAGAAAGGATAGCTTCAGAGTATGAGCTCTAGAATCATGCTGTGTAGGTGCAAATTTTGAGCCTGTCATTTGATTACTATGTGACCTTGGGCAAGATACTTAAGTTCTTTGTGCATTATTTTCTTTATAGGTACAGATGGATATAATAAAGGGCTCACATCATAGTCTATTTTTTGTAAAGATTTATTTATTTGAGAGAGAGTGTGTGTGCGCGTGTGCGAGCAGGGGGAGGGGCAGAGGGAGAGCAAGAGAAGCAGACTCCCCACTGAGCTCGGAGCCCCACACAGGGCTAGATCTCACAACCCTGAGATCACCAACAAAGCCGAAATCAAGAGTAGATGCTTAATTGACTGAGCCACCCAGGCGCCTGGACTCAAATCAAATAGTTTAAAGATTAACTGATACAAGATAGTAAAGCACTTCAAAAAGTCCTTGGTAAATAGTAAGTACTAAATAAATATTTGTTGTTATTATCAGCCCTTAATGAATATTTGCTGACTGCATATTGAATGTCTAATCTACTAAGCACTTTGGTGTTTTTTACATAAATATCATTTAATTCTTTTTTTTTTTTTTTAAAGATTTTATTTATTTGACACAGAGATAGACAGAAGAGCACAAGCAGAGGGAGTGGCAGAGGGAGAGGGAGAAGCAGGCTCTGCACTGAGCAGGGAGCCCGATGTGGGGCTCGATCCCAGGACCCTGAGATCATGACCTGAGCCGAAGGCAGACGCTTAACCATCTGAGCCACCCAG